ATATACAAAATACAAATACAAATACTCTTTAATCGCAATCTGCAAATTACAAATGATAAATTACAAATTGAAGTTTGACAAAAATAATATATGCACTGCAATCACTGCAATAAAATGAATTGGTAACCATCTTGATTGGTAATCATCTTGTTTTTGATTATATATACTGTATATAAACATATGTATATATAAACATTTGAAACAATGGCTGGATCTCGGTATTATGTATATAATACGGTATTATTCAAAATAATTGTTTTAATTACAAATTGAAAAGAAATAGAACCATAGAAATTCAAAATATATGCCTAATACACCTACGTATAGTAGGGCTATCATATTTTAGCCAGTGAATTTTTGTTTGTAATAATAGGGTCTGTGGTATTAGTGGTAGTGTGCCTAGGCCTATATGTATTTTATGTATAACAGTACGGAACTAGATTTCGATTGAGCTTAAACTCAATCAAACGTCCGTAATCGATCTCATTATGATAATATTTATGTAAATTGTTAATAGAAAATGTTTTGAAACGTTATGTTGTTTCTAGACCACCCTTTGAATTCTTGACACTGACACGGAATTGGCCTCCGACACTATGTTTGGGGAATCAAAAGGTAATTTTATATTGTATGCTTTAATTATAGTTACAGACGTAGCAGTATTCAATAATAAGCAATTAGTAGAGCTCCGCATAATACACTATAGGAAAATTATTATACGAAGGTTAGATTTAATGCTTGATTAAAATTTCCTGATGGCCTACAGGGCCCGAAGGAAATTTTTGAATACATTAAATCTAACCTAAGTATAATAATTTTTCATTTAGTGTACGATGCATGCTCTACTAATTGCTTTATAAGTCAATCGCCGTCTTTTAATTTTAGCTTTTTATAACCAACTGTTGTAGCAGTCATCGGTTGTTATAGTGATATGATCAGTATACATGTGCGTATTTACATTTAGCTGTGCATATGCTGATTTTTGCTCCTGCAGTACGCGTTTAATTAACTACACATAAGCAGTACAGTACGGATACGATGATTACGGTAAATATTGCGTTAGAAAAAAACTTGTTTGTAATGCTATTTTCATAGACTTTCGTCAAAAAAATAAACATTTCAGCATTCGAGAGAGAATAAAGTCACTGGACGTCCTTTTTAGTCGGTGGATGCAGACAGGTAAAATCGTGCGATGATGAAAACGACGAATAAGATAAAAAAGCTTATGATAATGATGGCGATGGTGGTGTTAGGAGTGATGATGGTTATGGTACGGCTGACGACGGCAACGGCGCTGACAATGACGAAAACGATGAGGAAGACGACTGCAAGGAGGATAATGAATATAATAATGACGGTGGTTAGTTACTAATGATGGGCAAGATAATTTTATTAATGTCAATGATGATGGTGTTGATGTTGGAAAATGTAATGAAAGTTAATGTTGTTGCAATAATGCCAAAATTAACCAAAATATTTTCATTATGATACTCCAACAGGTTCTAACAAGCAAGTCATGCAGAATCCCGGAAGACGTGAATACGTGGACAATCCATGGACTTTGGTAATAATACCATAAAGTTTTTTTTTTCCCTTATTCAATTTATTGCGACTCACAAAACATCAGACACAGATAAAAAAGGAAGCAAAGGGACAGGTTCCACAGACTCGAGGTCCAAACTAAGGGAAAACGCCCTGGACAAAAAACATCATATTACATGAAAAATACATATCAACTCTCATATATAAATACAATAATACATTTTTTTTGAATAACATGAAACTTTGGAAAGGAAACATATAAAAATGGAAATAAGAGCAGCAAGACCAAAACAGGGCACGGTCAATGGTTTCGCAGTGCACCTTTCAGCAAACACCAGTATAATTATTAATTCATTTGTTCGAATTTTTACTTGTATGTTTTATGTATTTATTTATTATTTTATAATTATTATGTTTATTTTAATTATCGTATTTGCTTTAGATGTGTATAAGAGACAGACCTAAGCTGGTCGAACGTCTCGTTTGGGTCTGTACCCTAGCTGCACTGATGAGGCCTAGAAGGCCGAAACGGATCCGTCTGCAGATATTGGGATTCCTTCCAGTGGCTACTGTACATTAGTCGCAACGCCTACTCCATCGAGCCACATGCCGACACGTGCATAAAACTGCCAAACGATATCGAGCCACGACCGATGCAGCAGTGGCCACTGACACTTCGGTATTTTTCAAATTTTTTATTTTATTTTATTTAATTTTTATTATTTATTGAATCTCTTAACAATCTCATGAAATCACCGAGCGATTCTGAACTTCCTTTTATTAAAGTAGTTAGTAGTAGTAAAGGTTATTCCACATGACAAGCGCACGGCAGAAAAAAAAAACTGTTTTTGGAAACATTTACTTTCGACGATACCAGTGCGTAATTACCAGAAACGACGAAACTAGATGGATAACTATGAACTGGCTTAGTTTCATTTTAAGCGCTGCTCTCAAGTGCCGAACGGCTTTTTTCATCCAGAAGTGCCGCTCTCAAATAAGCGCCGCGGTAAGTTGCTCGGTTTAATTAATAAAGGCCACCGATTTTCGAGATTAAATACTAAGTCACAACAAGTCAGAATGCTATAGGCCTACATGTAAAATAGGCCTATACATGGTACTATTTAAGCACTACAGTATTGCAGTTGGCTCCACTGAGGCCCAACATTTTATACGCTCGGTGCCAGTAGCCTAATTGGAACATATACGGCAGACTTACCGTAAGAGCATATCTCATCATTTCAACTATTAAATTAAAATTTTACTTATTTAATGAATTAATAGAATTTCCTTAAATTATAATATTCAGTTTATAATCACTATAGTATATATGGTTCTATTAAAAAGTATTTTCTATTACCAACTGTGGAATAATTGGGAGTTAAAACAAGGCAGTTGTATTCAGTGTGGTGGACTCAAAGGCTCGGCCGTACCCCTCTCAATTTTGTTTTTAATTATTTATAAAATGGAGAAAAAAAGAAAATACTGAAATATTAAAATTTAAGCCTGAGAGTGCCATTTTCGGATACCTTGAGGTGCCATAATCATATGTTTTTACCTCAGCCCAAAGCAAATAAGGCACAAGCCTTGTGGGCCAGGCGAAAATGATTGGCCATCAAAAGTTGGACTGCAATATTATTTACACTCTATTTTCCGGTATTATTAGGCCAGAAAACTGGTAATTATTACCATGAGGTCCATTCAATTAACATTTTTGGGCCATTTCCAAAATGTGCCTTGAGGCCAGACGATGCTTAATCCGGCACTGCCAAACCATGGTGGGTCTGAGATGGTGTAGTCATTTTCTGTGAACGTTCCTCCATGGGCTCCCTCCCTTTCGAATTCCTGGATCTGCCATTGGTCTTGGTGAAAATTTAGAGTGAATCTGTGAAGTGAATGTCAAGACGCCCACCTTCTAACCCAAGGGATTGGTTCAACCACTGTAAAATATCTTTATCAGAAAATTTTCCTTTGAAAAATTTATCTCATTTCTTTAGCATCATAAATATATACTCGTTAATAATGGTGTGTAATTAACTACTTGGTAAAAAGAATAAAGCTGATAAAACAAATATTTTTTTTAAGATGAAATATTTCATTTGTGTATTACAAACTGTAGGCCTGACAGAGAAAAGAGTCCAGATATTAACAACTGTTTACCACAACAACAATTTGATTATGACAAAATCAAGGTAGGCCTGGTTGATATAGATAAATAATACTGTAATACTGATGATGATGATAGTGATAATAACGGTGCTCGAGCACTTTTATTATTTATTTATTTACATTGTGTTACGCAGTGGTACAATGACACGCACCAAATTTGAACAATAAAACTTTTTTTTTTATTTCTTTATTTTTATACAGGATTAAAATATATCAGGTGGTTGTTAAAGCCTGTTTTTCATATGGTTCTGTTCAAAATTTAACTAGGGTTAAATAACAAATATTATACGTCACACTTCAATAAATATCAAATTCTAATAAAGCAGGGAAATAGATGGTAAAAGTGCGCTGCCAATATGTTATATGCGCATGAGATATTCCGTTCAACATTTTAATTTATATAAGAAAACTGGAAAGGTTAAAACGTAATAAAAAAAAATTGATAGGCAAAAGCTAAAATCAGTCAGAAATAACAGAGCTTTCGTCAGTGGGAAGTGTGACTATATTTGTAGTGGCCATATATTATGTTATAATACAGATAAACACCATTGTAATAACTTGTAACCATTTTTCTTCAAAGGATATAGAAAACGAATTGAAGAGGACCTGGCCTTCTTTTTCCATGCCTAATCATATATTTTGGTACTGATTTCTATTGTGAACTTAGGCTATGGTGGGATTGAAAACCAGAAATTATATTTTGTTAAGAAATTAGGCATTGGGTCTTTTTGCCAGGGCTTTACACTAGAGTATAATTTAAACTTCATGATATGTTTACATTATTGAAAATGATGATAATAAAGGTAATAGCATATAAAAGATGATAATAATATTTAATAATATTCATGATGATGATAATAGACTGCAAAATGGCCTTTGTAAAGGTGAATAAAGTATTTTATTTTGGGACACTTATATTGAGCAGACGTTTGCAAAAGTAAGATTAAGGATTTCTTTATATTATAGGCCTACACAAACTGTATTAACATTGTAAAAAGTCGTTAGTTTTGTTTAGATTGTGTTTTTCATGTTTTTAAGGGAACATGAATGGTGTACACATGGATCATGCTTACAGGACTGCGCAGAACTCAAGGGAGAGGAGAATTATTTCAGAAAAACGATTGAGTTACATAAGAACTATAGCATCGATATGTGAGTATTGAAAGAACGCAAATGATTATTATAAGCCTATGCATAATATTGATGTGCTTGTTTTATCGAACTACTGTAAATTAATATAATTCCTTCAGAATTATGTAATCAGTATGATAAGTATGTTGGAGTTGATTAGCAAATGATTGTTATGCGTATAAGACGTGCTTGTTTTATTTTTATTTTATCGAATTATTATTCACAATTATCTAATTAGAATGATCATAAAGATGTTGGAGATACAGTAGAACCCCTCCTTAGGGACATCCCTTTTCAGGGAACACCCATATTAAGAGGACACCACTATTAAGGGACACTTTTCTGTGAAACAAGGGAAAATATATCTTTTAACACCACTATAAAAGAGACAGGGACACTTTCTGAATGTGCAAAATGATCAAATCTATACAATTTAACGCAAGGAGACACTTATTTTTTCTATTGTTGCAAAACAACTACAGTAGTCACAAAATAAGAAACATTCATTTACATTTATATTGTGACACCCTTCATTCCTGATGATGACATAATTAATGTCGAAATATTGAATCCGTTAGCGTGCATTTCGATACTTGGATTATGTATTATCTGAGATTAATCAGTGAACTTTCGGTTTTGTATAAATACAATATTGTAAATTTTGCCAATCCCTACACTCTGATTTCTAAGTTGTTAACATCTATTGATAGTATTCCATGGCCGGCGGAACCAGGGTCTCGCCCCCCCCCCCCAGAGACAGAAATATATGTCTGGAGATTTTTGTATGATCGAAAAGAAATGTAAGTAAAGAAAGAGGGAAGAAGGAGAAGAGGGAGGGGAAAGAGAGTGTTTATGCAGTCCCCCGACCGAGTTACATTTTTTCTCGCAATTCACATTGGCGGATCTGGTGGTCAGGGGTCCTGAGCCCCCCCCCCCTTAGGCAAATTTTTTTTTATAGATCTACCTTTTCAGGACCCGTGAGCTGATTTTTTTTTGTTCACAAAAAGAGAATTATAAGTCGGGAAAGCTCATTCCCGCCATCTTAGAATCAAAATTTTGGGGTTCACAGATTAATGAAAAAAAAATAATACGTAAGCAACGTAGGTATCACGGTACACACATAGGCCTATTTACTTTAATAAGAATGAGAAAAATTTAGAAGACCGTACCGTTTTCAAGGGGAAAACCTTGAATTTCAAAGAACTTAAAAGTCATTAAAAGACACTTAAGAAGTCGGGAAAGCTCATTTCCTGCCATTTAGATATGAACGTTTTCCCGGGGAGAACCCCACCCGCTTTCTCTTTGGGGTTCATTGATTTATGTAATCGTTTTCATTTTTTTTATAGATCTACCTTTTCAGGACCCGTGAGCTGATTTTTTTTTGTTCACAAAAAGAGAATTATAAGTCGGGAAAGCTCATTCCCGCCATCTTAGAATCAAAATTTTGGGGTTCACAGATTAATGAAAAAAAAATAATACGTAAGCAACGTAGGTATCACGGTACACACATAGGCCTATTTACTTTAATAAGAATGAGAAAAATTTAGAAGACCGTACCGTTTTCAAGGGGAAAACCTTGAATTTCAAAGAACTTAAAAGTCATTAAAAGACACTTAAGAAGTCGGGAAAGCTCATTTCCTGCCATTTAGATATGAACGTTTTCCCGGGGAGAACCCCACCCGCTTTCTCTTTGGGGTTCATTGATTTATGTAATCGTTTTCAAGAGGGGGAAAACCTTAAATTTGAAGAACTTAAAAGTGATTAAAAGACACCTCAGAAGTCGGGAAAGCTCATTTCTCACCATCTAGGAATTAAAATTTCCCCGGGGGTGGATCCCACCACCTTTCATTTTGAGGTTTTTGGGAAATGCAAGAAAAGAAAAAGGAAAGAAGGAGGAGAGGGAGGGGAAAGAGAGTGTTTATCCCGTCCCCGACCGAGTTACAATTTTTTTCGCAATTCACATTGGCGGAGCTGGTGGTCAGGGGTCTTGATCCCCCACCCTCTCCCTTGGGCAAAAGGGGAAAAAAATCTAGACCTAACTTTTCAGGACCCGTGAGCTGAATAATTTTTTTGTTACAAAAAGAAAATTTGTTACAAAAAGAGTCAATATTTTCTCGGGGAAGTACCCCGACCCAATTTTATTTTTGGGGTTCATCGATTACTGGAAAAAAGAATACCGGTACGTAAGCAACGTATGAATAACGGTACACACATAATAGGCCTATTTACTGTAATAAGAATGAGAAAAATTTACCTGACCGTTTTCAAGGGGAAAAGCCTTGAATTTTGAAGAACTTTAAAGTCACTAAAAGACACCTCGGAAGTCGGGAAAGTTCATTTCCCACCATCTGGAATCAAAATTTTCCCCGAGGGAGAACCCCAGACCCCCCTTTTTCTCTTTGGGGTTTATCGATTCATATAAAAGGATACACATAGGCCTACGTATACTCATTTTTTTATGTATGTATACACACATAACAGGCCTATTTACTGTAATAAGAATGAGAAAGTTTACCTGACCGTTTTCAAGAGGGGGAGGGGGAAACTTGAATTTTGAAGAACTAAGGCATTAAAAGATATCTAGCTCAAAAGTCGGGAAAGCTCATTTCCCACCATCTAGGAATTAAAATTTTCCCGAGGGAGGGCCCGTCCCCCCTCCCTTGAATTCCGTATTGGGGTTTTTGGGTATATATTGTTGAGC